ATCCAACAGCCAACCGACATCTAAATCCACATCCAGGGCCAAATCCCCGACCAAATGAAACTCAAAGCTAACTAAAACAGCAAAAACCAGCAGCCCCAACATCCCTAAGAGCAATGGATGGACATGTGCAACGAATTCCAAATGTCAGAAGTCCTGCATATACACTTATATATTACATATATAGGGAAATATAGATGTTTGCGCGAGTCAATCGGAAAAGCTTTCGAAAACAACAAAAACCGTCTGCAGCTGGTTCGGAAAAAGTAATAATAAATAATTGCCCGATGGGGAGTGAGTTGCAGGCGTCCTCGTTTCTCTGCTAATTGGAAGAAACCAAATTATGAGCACAACTTGCCGAGCCCTTCAAGGTGAATTGCTTGCCGACAGGGTGAAGTTTTCCCTCTAATTGCTGAAAGTCACTCATAAAAAGCCCCATCAAGTTTCTGTTAAGCGGCAAGCAATTGTCACAAAAAGTCAGCCAAGTTATAGATAGCGGATGGGTATGTGGCACCCCATATGTACACATCTATGTCTTACCACATTTGCCAAGCATATGAAATTCGCACACCATCAACTGCGATATGAAAGGTTAATAAAACCAAGCCAAGAACGTGCGAAACGAAGGTGTTGGCACCTGGCAAAAGGTTTCACTTGCTTATTTTTTTGGGGTGGATGAAAAAGTTTTCTTTTCCAGAGCATGCAAGCTGATTTCGCCCTCCAGGGATTCCCCCAGAAATTGACGCTAAATTCTTTAGTCAATTTGGGGTGTCATAGAAACAGTGCGGTCCCTTGCTCATTAGATGTTTAGAAGGGTTTGCTGGGATGTCTTGGATGTTGGATCATTGTTTTTAAAGAAACTGTTACTAGTGTGCCAATATCAAGTAAAAACTTAAAGCACTATCAATATAATTAACTGTGCAACTTTGCTATAAAAAAAAAACAATATTTTATTAGATTTTCTATACTTCAGCCAGAAATCAAAAAAGATTAAAATCATAAAGGCTTTTATTACATTTTTTCAAAAGTTTCTTGACATTGCCAATAAATTGGAGACGAAATTAAAAATCATCTTTTATGATTTTCACATAATTAAAAACTTTTAGCCAATTTTGAGATGGCCAAACTTCATTCGCTCTTAAACTAGCTGTCAAACGCTTTGCAGACTTTATCGATTAGTCAGCTAAATCAGCGCCAATGATTGATATTGGCCAAGTTAATGATGATCTCATTGGAACCTGTTTGGTCAGTGATTATATCCCCGAATCTCAGACAATTTCTCGCCAGCAAAAGCCAGAAACCACAGCCCCAAAGAAGAATGTCAAACGCAGACTCGCAACCGCAGATTAACTCTGAACCCAGAAAGCACACTTTCCCTCTCGGCCCCTCCCCTTGCGCCCATTTTCCCCGCCCCATTCGCTTATATTTTTTCCCCACTTTTCCCGCAATTCACACACGGAGTTCGAGCGGGAGCGAGCTGCAATTAAACGGGAAAAGACAACTTTTCCAACAGTTTCCCAGGGTAGCGAAGCCGCAAAGGATGTCCAGGCAACTGGGTATGTAAATGTGGGTGGTGTGTGGTGCGGTGTGAGTGGTTTCGGGTGGTTCGGGTGACGGGCGGCCTTGGGATATGTGGCTAGTTTGGTAAGGCTTCATTCCGTCTGTTCGGCTCAACAATATTGGTACACAATAAACAAATGTTTACAAATCTTAAATGTTTAAGAAACAGTGTCATAATATTTTATGTAAATATAAAATATATATTTTAAAGACTTAAGTCCATTCTGTCATTCCATTTATCAAAAAAATATTTTCAAAACGTTATGCTTTCAAGTAGCTTTTGAAAATGTATCCTTTATTGTAAAGTATTTGGGTATGTTAGTTTAATGTCTATAGTAGAACACCTTTCAGTAAACAAAAGATTCTAGGTTTTTGAGTGTTGTACCAATACTGAAATATACATTTTAAGTGCAAAAATAAAATAGTAATAATGTCATTGAACATATGTATTAGGGTAATTCACAATTTTATTTATATTTAATCCCAATTAGTATCAATCTTTCTCAGTGCACTTGTTGGTGTATGAACGTATAATTGTAAAGTGGCCCGGTACGTGTCGTTCCTTTCGCTTTTAATTGTATGTGTAAAGTGAAGTGGGGGTGGAGGTGGGGGTGGGGTCACACCCACTCCCCCGACTCCTTTTTCATCAGCCCTCCGGAGAGTGCGTAGTTGTGTATGTATGTGTTGTTAACAACTTTAACATCACTTTGGCGTACCCTCGAACATTTTCATCCGACTTTGCCATGTTTGTTGATTTTGCTTGTGCTGCTGTTGTATTTCTAGTTGATAATTTTACTTGAATACTTAAGCATAACATTAAAAAATAAACGAATTTTGTGGTATGCTCAATGCTGTTTAATTTGAATTTATTTATAATTTTTTAGGTGCTGGTTTTACTTTGCACAAGCATTTAATGGTTTTTATCACACCTCTAGCATATTTAATTAGCAATAAAAAGTCAGTGAATCATAAATCTTTAATTACTGATTTTAATGTTCGAATATAATCTCATGAATGAATGAATGCTTTATTTCTGTCAATTTAATACACATTTCGAAGACTTTCCTTATTTAATATATACTCGGAGAGTAAGGACACATTACTCATAATGTTGAGTTCTCAGAGGAAATCATTAAGCCGAATCTTTTTTACACATGAAAAGTATTTTAACTTACAAAAACATTGGCATACATGTAATTTTTAAAGTGCCACTCTGGTCCTGTCCCCACATACTTGTACAATATTAATTGCATGAGTGTTAATTGCGGTCGGCCAGCACTTAACTTAATGAAAACTTGTCCTCAAGGAATTTCCATAGTTATATTTGGAATTTTTCCCCACTATCGAAGCTTTGAGGGTGAAAATCAATTTTAAATTAGGGCACAATGAGCTCATGTCCACACGTGGATATCAGGTGACGTAGAAGGGTCCCAACCTTAGACGCTTGCCTTCTGCCCACACACACGGGGCAAAGGTCAGATTACAGGGGCTTCCTGCACTGGAAAAAATGTATTCCTTTTTAACATAAGAGTTAAAAAAATTAAAACTTGTATTGTTTAGCATCGTTGAACCGTTATTTTACGTGATAACAAATTGGTCAAAGCTCGATAAGAAGCCTTAAAAAAACAAACACATATCAATACGTTTTTTGTAATATTCTGATACTACCACAGGATATCCCGTAAAATTGATATTTTTTCGTGTGCCCTGATGCCTGCTATTGAATCGAGTTTCATATCAAAGGAAGCGTCATCCTTGTTGTTGCTTTTGCCGTATCTTTTGTTGTTGTGGGTGGCAGAATCGAGTAAACAACAATAAAGCGGCGACAAACAAAAGAGTAGCAACAGCAAAAAAGGACCCAGGACACCAAGGGAACTAGGCCCAAAAACAGGAGCAACTAGCAACTTGGAATATGGAAGGACATGACGAATGACGCGTTGCTAGACGATTTTTCAATTTGAATGGCCCAAAAAAAAAAAGGGGGGGGCCTGAAAACTCGAATAGTGAAACGTTTCGGATTTCGATTGGGTTTTCACATTTGCTCCTCTAGTTTCATACAGTTTTTTGGTGTGGCCTGAGGAATGGCATCGATAGATGCAACCTGCAATTTGCCGCCTGACTAAGCCAGACGACTGGTTCAAATGGGGGTTATTTCAATCGGTGGGGAATTTAAGACTGGTCTGTATTGTTCCACCTACGCTGCACTCTGAGCGTAGGAAAATCAAGCAGGAATTGCATAGTTTATTGCTTAGCCTGACAAAGTGGCTTGTTTTCCTTGTTTTTAAGTTATTAAAGACATGGGGAATATTCAGGATTATCTAAGGCTGTATAAGCTCTGCTAAAAATTAATAACTACTTGCTTTCGAAGTCCCTTTGAAGATCTAAGAGTTCCTTTTAAGCAAATTACTTTTTCCCACAACTTAAACCTTTGAACTTTAAGCCGCTTCCTTGAATTCAGTTTCACATACAAAAAGATTACTTCTGACCACATGACCTCGTAGCAGAAAAGATATTCAAACTGAAGTACAGAATTCAAAATATTTTTTTAATTTATTGATGTTTATTAAAATCTGTCTTATTATAATTGGGTTTAAAAGATACAGATACAGGCTGCTATAATTGTGGTAAAATCAATTTATTACTGGTATATAAGTTAGATTTTCTTTCAGTTAAACTTAAGGCGTTTAAAAAATGTATCGCACAAGACCGAAACTGGCGCCTAACTGCCGCTACAAAATCAGAAGGCTACTTTATCAGAAAGCTTACTATATATTTAAATTTCTATTCCCAGTTCAAGCAATACCTTTTGAACAATTCCCTTGAAATAATACATTTATTTTCCTCTCAACGCTAGCAGATACTTTTTAATTTGCATATTAATCAACTCTTCGGAATTAGAAATGTATTCTAGCTAATTATGGGTATTCAGTAGTTAATCCATTATAATGGTCTTAACTTTTTATATACATGAAATATTTACATTTCGTATACATTTGCAGGCTCATAAGAACAAATATACTTCTTAAGAACTCAAAAACACAAATGATTCATACACATTTCACTTTAAAGATTTATAGCAGCACTCTTAAAAATACATTTTCTCATGCATGCATTCACTTTCAAACAATTTTCTATAAGCCCTCTTTGTTAGATCTGGCCCAAGAAGGCTAGCAGATACTACTTTTGATTCTGCCTATCTTATCTGCCGTATCAACAAGATAAACAATGTGGTATTACCAATTCATTCATGTGAATGTGTATTTCCGAACGTAATTACAACATTTTGTTGGAATAAAAATATCTTATAATACAGAAGCTTCTCACCCTCCGCTCTCAGATTTGTAATTAAAAATATATTTTCTTTCGATTAACGGAGTTCTACTCTTTGCTATTATCCCAATTAAGATTGAACCTGATTAAATGGATAACGTTTATGGACTCACCGCTTGCCCTTGAAGGCCAGCAGATACTTCTTGTTGGCGGGAAAATTGTTGGACTGCACGGAGCCCGTGGCGCCGGCCCTCAGCGGAAATTGTTTGTGGAAGAGCGGTATGCTGACATCGAATCCGTGTCGCAGCTGGAGCACTCCCATGCTGGCCTTGGCCAAAATGGCCTCCCCCGCATCGAAACCCAGCGAGTTCTCCGCGTAATCCGGCCAGGTGCCTGAATACAGGTTGAAAATGATGTGGTTTCGTCCGTTATTCCAATACGGCAATCTCGCCAATCTGGATGGGACATTCCGGACGTAGTCCTCGGATAGTGAGTCCCGATCCAGAGTATCGATACCGAGCACAAAAAGACAGGCGGCTGAGGGATCGTTGGTGTGATATCTCGATTCCTGAATGGCAGTGAGAATCTTTTGATAGTTGGCCGAGGTGGGCGGGGCGGCGCCCAGGGAGTTGAGGGGTTCCGGTGGATAGATGTAGACCAAAAAGCGATCGTAGCAGCGCGTAAAGTCGAAACAGGTCTCCATGCGGCAGTCGGGTTTACGTGGAGTTACCTGGTGTTTTTTTATCGGGTTGCCCGTGCTCTTCGATTGATTACCCTGCAGTAGCTTAAGTTCTTGCAGTTCGGGGGAACCAATAAAACTGGGCAACTGCTCGTGGGGTTGGACGCCTCCATCTTTGGCCGATTCGTGCTGGGCTCTACGGGGTCTCAAGGGCGAAACTTTCAGGCGATATCCTCCAAAATAGGCGTAGGCCAAAAAAGCGCATGAGACGAAGACCAGTATATAACGCTTTTTGGCCTGCATTTTGTGGCTTTAGTAAATCCAAATTCTTTAAATCCTTAATAATTTTGATTTTTTTGAATTTCCAATTTTTTTTTTATTTATAATTATGTTTGCGGAACTTTTAGTTTTCCTTGGAGGCTGCGTGTGTGTGTGTGTGAGTGGGAGAGCGTGCGTGTGTGTGTGCGAGAGGCGGGGGTTCCGACAACAACAACAACAACAACACAAATTTACACTAGTTGTCGCGCATTTTCGTTTTTTGGTTTATTTATTTGGCCGCTGCTTTCTATTCAAAGACTGATAAACATGGCCAGAACTTGTTGTTATTCTACACACACCGCGTCGGCAAAAACACATGTATATATTCACATTTCGTTCATAATCTTTTATGATTTCTCATTTCCTGGCGCGTTTAACGATTCGCGGGGGGGGAAAGCGGGGGCGGCAGGGTTCGATCCTCGCTCTTTGCGAGGAAATGCATTGCGCACACACATTAGGCTCCGCTTTTCACATCATTTTCATTTAGTTTCAGCATTTCTTTTGCGCTCTTAAGCAACAGAAACATTAAACAAACACACACAAAACATTTTTAGCAGCTAAAAAATCAGACGGCGGTCGCGAGTTGAGCAGCACTGGCCGAGCGGTATTTTGCAACACCGAATGAGAGCCGAAAAGAGAGAGAGCGGGCAGTAGGGTTGCCAGCTCTGGCAACGAGCGTTAGTGTTTAAAATATAAACAATATTAAATTTTAAATTTATATTCAAAGTCAATGCCGTTTTAGTTTAGTTTTTTGTTTTTGTTATTCACTTAATACTGCAATGAGTCTTGTATCTTTTTCTTCCCATATTTTTATATTTTTCTTAGTTGATAACGACTAAAGTGCACAAAAATGCTTTAAAAGGGCGCGTCTTTACGTTTTGATAGCTCGGCGTGTACTGGCCAACTTATCACACTGAGTTATTCCACAAGGACTCCGCTGGAATACACCAATTTATTGGAAAACTCAAGCATGCGCAGTTTGGCGCCCTTTGTTTAATATAATGCTGAAAGGTGGCAACGCCGTTGCAACAGCTGTATATTTTAATTCAAATTTCAAATGATTTTTTTCCAAATAAATCCCTTAATGAGTGGGCGTTTTAAGAGGTGGTGTTTGCGTGGATTGGAAATTGAATCCCCCGGGCGTAATATGTTTACAAAATGTAATTACCACTACAATAACTGTTGTAAACACTTGCCGCGCTGGTGCATCGTAATAATTATTGTTCGGCTTGAAATTAATTACATTTTCGGTAGTCCACACATCACGTATTTTGCATTGTAGATTTGCCAAATGTCACCCAAAGGTAAAATTATTCCTTTATTAATTATTTGCCAAAACTAATTACACCGGTATTAATGCGTTTGCATGGGGTAAATAATAAACACTTTTCGTTTAATTTCCATGAAACAATAGTCATAGGCCCATAAGTTTTCAATGTTTTCGAAAATGTACAGTCGAACTTTCACAACTCAATGCCGATCACTAAATATAGTTATTTTATATATTTTGACTTTATTTTATTGTATTGACTTTAACTTCTTTTTCTGATTTGTTTCATTCCTTAAAGATCAATTAAAAATTGCCTTGATTCCTATAAACCTTCCTTTTATATTAATATAATTGTTATAAAAAATCTATATATCTACATATATAATATTATTTTATCTCTCAGAAGAGGTTATCTTTTTTCTCCGTGCTTATGGAGTAGCTACGTAAAATAAATGCGTGTAATTTGTAAAAAAAATTAACCGAAAATAAATAAACTGTTTTTGTGGAGTGGACATTTTCGCATCCGCATCCTTGCATCCGGGCTTGCGCTTTTTTTTTGGCCAAGCGCGCAATTTCCCGTTACAAACGCGTTTAGGCTGGAATTTCAATTATGCACAGGAATGCCACTCCCCCTTGCCCCCTGGCCACGCCCCCTAGCCAGTCTTCTTCTTCCTGTGCACTTCCTGCGTTGTGGCCGCAATTATGGGGCTCCCGCTTAGATAGAAATCTCGCCCGAAAACGAAATATGCCAGGCATCTCTGACTCCTGCGTTGGAATACACTCCGTTTACTCCCCCTGATTAGTTCCAACCCCTCACTCTCATTTATGACCTTATAACCAGCTCAACTTAAATCAGTGAAGAGGTTATAAAAAGCAACACATCCAGACAAACTAAAAACCAACATATTTATTTTTCATTTGCTTAATTTGGTTGCAATAAACAGAACTTCGAATTTATATTAATCCTTTAAAAAAAATGTTGTTATGACCATTAAATTTAAAATATTCATATTTAAATACAGACTTTTTTTCTCTGCAAGGTTGTATTGCGAAATGCGTTTATTCAGGAGAGCATGAAGCGTATTTAAAGTGTAGTCAAAACCACAAAACAAAGTTCAGCAAAAAACAACACATCTAACAATATATTCCTGCCGGTTATGCCCTCATTTGTTATTTTTCAATTTAATTGTTTTCTGACAAACCAGTAACAGCTTCAGAAAAAAAAAACAATAATTTTTTAGCAACTGAAACGCTTAAAATTGCTTAAATAGACAGCTTTAAATCAAGGTTTCTTTTTAAAGAAAGGAGAGATAGAAAAGAAACGTGGAAATTTCACACGACTTAAGATTTTTTAATATTAATTTAAATAAAAATAACTATTCTTCGTGAGATATGATTTAACAAAATATGTTTATAATATTCTGATTTTGCACGGTTTTTTATCTAAGCAAAACTTGTCTAGAATAAATGGTGAGGACATTGCTCACAAGAGAAAACTTTTCACACATTTTGGCATAGAGACCATATATCACAGATGCAACCTGGTGACCTTGCCAGAGAATGGCCGTGCAAATTGCTCGTCTTCCGCCGTATGTGCACACGACCCACTTGATGGCCATGCATCTCGTTTCCGTTTCCGGCGTGCCTCTAATTAAGTGTCAGTCGCCGTGTCCCCCGTTGTCCTGCCTTTTGTGAGATTATTGGGTTTGCTCACACGTTAATTTTCCTCTCTATTTGCATTTTTTGCTAAATCACGAACAACGCCCCCATTCAAAGTTAATCAATCATGCACATGCTGCATAATTTGACTTCCTAAAGGGGACTTTTAGGTGTCTGCCAGCTGGGGTCCTCGTTCTATCTATCTGTCTCTCCTTTTCTTTTCAAGTGGAAACTTTGATGGATATTCCGCTCGGTTGTTCTTCCTGTCCCAAGCTAATGAAACAATTTTTGGATTTACAATGGCCAGTGGTGCCCCCTAAGCCCCTTTTAATATTTATGCAGTCAATAAAGACATTCATAGAAATAGTCAGATTTGTTTGCACTTTTGATTAGACTCTTTATTAGAAGTATATATTTTTTGAATATAAACACCAAGAAAAAAGTATAATAATCATTTTAATATTTCTAAATACATTTTTTTTTACCAAGTAATCGCCACTTTTATCTATTTTTATATTCATTTCCATTAAAAATGTTCAAACTTAGAACTTTTAAGATAAATGAAAGCTTATTAAGCAATTTATATTACTAGGAAACATTGTTAATTTAATCAATTAATAATATTTCATTATTTAATTTTAAAAAATGAAATCCCAAGCTTAACTTATAGCCTAGTAGTGTAAAATGTAAACTCCAAATATTATTTTCTTTATGTTCGCCTCTAAATTTTAAGGTAGCAGGAAAATTGTATATATTTTTTCTCTGTGCTTAAGCCTTGAGCTGCTATCAAGTGCACGACCACACGACAATCAACTGGCTCAGTTAAAGTTTAAGCTCTGCCTTTGCTGGTGCTCCCGCTTTATCATCATCGTCTTCATCAAAATAGTAACCGGGAAAAATTACAACTGCAACAGCAGCAACAACGCCAACATAAATTCATTAGCCACAAGTCAAAGTGCTGGGCGAAGAAGGGAGTTTCTGCCAGTTTAAGTACCCACCGAAATTTATGACGTCACTTTTAGTTGCCACCTCGAGTTTATGGATGCTGAAGATGTTGAAAAAGCTGGAGAATGCCAGCCGCAGTTTATATAAAACTTTACTACAGATTTTTTTAACGAGCTTGTTGGAAAAAGCCATACGAAAAGCTTATGGGGCTGTGAAAATTTAGTTGAGTGATATGAACGTGGGTTAAATCAAGTGGTTTTAAGAAAGATCCGTCTACAATTCCTGGAGACATTCAATTTACACCTTCTTTTGCGTTTTAGAAACAACTTTTTACTACGATTTAGCGATCAATTAATTACAATACAATTAATTGCTTTACTAAAGTTCTCATGTAGTCATCGTTTCAAAATAAAAAGAGACGTTCTGATTTAACGTTGTCGATAGTAAACACCATTTTCCTTAGCATACTTTTGGGAAAATTTATAAAAGTAATGGTAACATGATCATAATATTCACGGTAAAGCCTTTTAAAAGTTATTATTTAACTAGGTTTGCTAATTTTGTACATCTAAGTATAAAAGTATAAAATTGCTTTTAAAGCATATAAAAAAACAAATTGCAGTCAAACAAGAATATAGATTCTTTAATATAAAATTTTCTTAAAACATTATATCACATTTATCACTATGATGCCGTTCGAGCTAATCTTCGCTGCATATTTTTTTGCCCTGAAACGGGCAAGTGGTACAAAGGAAGGGACAGCTTGCCCCTGGGATATTCCTTGAATCGTCACACACAAAACATATATTCCAGCAAAGTGGAAACCTTTTTGGCATTTTAAAGTGGCAACATTATGTGCTGGTTTTGCCTTTTTACGATGCGGATGTGAACGATTATGGTTGTAGAGGTGTTAACCCATTCTCCTTGGCACACGAAACACCGAAACTGCAATATCGATATGCACAAACACACGGCGACGCAGAAAGAGCAGATGACATATCTTGTCAGATTTCCATGGCGAAGGTGAACATGACAGGCCGAACGTCGATGCCTGCAGGATGTGCCAAGGATAACGGCAGCCCACACACTCATCCTCTCAACCAAATACACACGCAAACAGTTCGTAACTTTGTTTGACACTGTTGCTATACATAGAAAAAATACTAAATGTTATTTGTTATTAAAGTAAAGTAAACTAAACTACAAAAGAAAAGCAACAAACATTAAAATATTAATATTAATAAAATATATACAAACAAACTAAGGCATTGTAAAATATCAAAATATTTGAATTTTGGTATTTTTAAATGTATTCAAACAAGTTATGGTGCTAAGCAATTAAATAACAAAAGGGCATTAACCATTTTTTGTTATTGTTAGACTGGAGTATAACAAACATCTAGAGCACAAATATAAAAACAAGTATATAGACATTCAGTTTTTTCAGTATACATATATAAAACGTTGGGCAACGTTGAGCTTTAAGCAGAAATGATTATTAAGCTGGTGTCTCTAACTAGGGGAATGGGTGTTAGAGGACAGTGTCTTGGTCAGTTTACAAATCCAATCAACTTTGCGTATACTTGATATGCAAACAGGAGGGAAGGAAACTTTCGCCGCTTCTACTGCTTCTTTCCCTCGTTTCATTTTGGCTGCTACTACTGCTACTTCAGCCAAATTAGTTTAGCAAACATCAAACAGGAGTTTCTAAGGCAAAAGCAGAAGCTGCAGCCAATCAAAGCAACAAGCTTGAAAAGAAGAAGAAAAGTGTTTGACTTTGGCTTTCAATATAACGCATACGCCACGTGGCAAATCCGAAATAAATATGAACATGAACGACTGTGTGGCAGA